GCATCCGTGGAAGTCCTTAAATATTAGAAAAAACTGCTCTGTTGAAGACATATTGATAAATAAAGTCAACAGAGCTTTGCCAAATATACACGCTACATGATGTCTTAACCAAAATCTTTTTTTTTCACTAGAACTCAGCGAACATTATTGATTCACTCACGACTCAAGGATTCGTTTCCACTACCACAGGCGCTAAAACACACGTATCTAGTGCACTAGTACCCAAAAAAGCTGCTTCTCGATATTCCTTCTTTCCTCTATCCAGGCTGTCTTTTCGAGAGTCACATGTTTAGCATGATGTGCTGTTTAACAGAAAGTATCGTCAATACTAGCATCTAAAATTTTTATCAGACGTATTCACCAACACTAATCCTCACACCCATACCCGCATGCATCCCCGGTTTTGTTCTGCAGTAGTTCCTTTATAAATTTGACGATTTATAAAGAAAATTTCCTTTTTCGTAGGCCTGAACATTACATGCTATGTCTACTGATCAGTGTTGTCGATTGTTTTGAGAAGTGGCGAAGGTAAAATTTTGACAGAAAGTGCTCTTATTTTTGTGGTGTAAAAACTGATGACGGAGGAGATGGGAAAGGAGACACCGACTGTGATCCCGATCTATTCAATAACCATCGATCTACTCCCAGATCATGCCCTTCCCTCTTCTTTTCTACGGACTTGCCGAAACTCTATTCACCCAGCTGCTGTGAAAATTTGGCAGAAAATATTAAATAGTTTTAGCGAAAAGTGTTATACAATTATGCAGAAAGCCGAACATTTTGAGGAGGTATAGACCCTTCCAATTCTCCTTAATCGATAACTCTGCTACACTGACAAGTTTTGATAGAGTTTTTTTTTTTTTATTTTAAATGAAAAAGAAAATTTTCTAGTCAATATACAAAAGTGTACTGATTCATTTTCTGTAAACTCATCTATGACTAGTCGATAGTGTATGAAAGATTTTTTACTTAGCCTATTTTATAATAGTGGATAATGAACCTAAAAAAATTTCAACTGATATTCTAATAGAAAAATTAATTAAATATTTACACATTTTGTTGATAACATGGAGAAATCACACAAAAGTTTAGTTATTTTGTTATGAATTTATTTAATTAAAAGTTAATCTTGTACTGCCCCTTCCCCTTTCCTCCATAGTGGTTTGAAAAGAGCTACCGATACAACAACTTTATAAATAGAGTACTAGTCTCTCGAATATGCCACTGATGTGGTCAGATTCAAAGAGAATCGTACGACATGATAAGAATTGATTTCTTTTCTTTTGATGACATTGTATGCGTGGATAGAAGCAATATTTATCCAGCACTGTTACAGTAATGCAAAAAAGCAAGGAGTGAACTGATAAAAATTAGTGTAAAAAATAAATGGAGTTTTTAGATTTGTTGTCAGATTAAAGCCTATTTTGCTCTGAGTCATTATATCAAGTCTAAAAAAAAATCACTCATCATATATACTGTTTCGGCTTCTCATGAGTTGAGGTTTCTAATATATGTATTAACATTGTTCTTAATCACACTCCATTTGCCCTATATGAGCTACATCACCAGTTATATCTCTTTATATGTGTAATTTGTTGAGTTATTATGAAATTTTCAAGAAACATCTAATTCAGAAGCGGTTTTCTTCATCGATTAGTATCGTACAGAAATTCCAAAAGAATTCTGTTGACTGCAAGTAGAAAGCATTTTGTTTCAAAACGTTCGATTTTGTTTTCATTGTTTCATAGTTACCGATTTTGTAGACCTCGTATTTTTCAAAGACGAAGGAACGAAAAGAAATATTCTTTTCAGTGACCAAGAATGGATAACGGATTAATTTTGAATAAAAACAAAACTGATTTAAGGTATTCATAGATGAATAATGAAAAATTTCTTCTTTATTCTATATATTGAAATTAAATATTAATGAGTGATTTTATTTGATTCTTTCTGAAATAATCAAAAAATTTATTTAAGAAAATTTTTCAATTTAAAAATAAAAACAAGAACAAAGAAAATTAAATTAATATTGATTTCTATAGATGTTACTCAGATTGGTTTCCACAATTTTCTATATATTTTTAGTTAATGATTAATGTTTTTCTAAATTTCAATGTCTAATAAAAATTTTTTAAATGATCAAGACAATAAAATTATTTAGAGTAAGACTTTTTCATATCTTATATTCTAGTCTCTATCTTAGGTTCTATCGTATATATTCTTACAGATTTCCATATTTTGTTAGATGTTAATATGAACTTTTGTTTTTTGTTTTTTTACTATGTTTCGATATACATAGTCTACTCATTTTCAATCATAATCAAATAGAAAAATTATTATATATTTCGAAATTTTCCTACAATAAAAATATCCTGAGCAATATTATCACTTAAGGGTCCCCTTCTTGTCACAGTAGATTTTTCATTTCGAATAGTTAAATGGGACTAAAATTTTTAGGAATCAATGATTCTAGTGAGAAATGTTGCTAATTAAAACTTCAGTACAATGTGTCAAACAAGAGCGAAATTCCGATCGATTCATAGTTGATTTATGCGCTTCAAGATAATAATTATGATTTCGTTTGTGCAAAAAGTAAAGAGCTTGAACTGGTTTTAAATTAAAGTCAATACACTCATGTAGATCTTTAAAACAGAAAGAAAGAGTTATAGCTTGAATCGAGTAAAAGTTTTTTTTTTTTCCTAATTGACAAATTATGTTCTGAAAATGGTAAATAAGCCAATACATGAATTTTTTCTTCATTCAAAGCCACAAATGGCATATTCATAATAGATTTAGCTGCAATTAAAAAGACATTCTTATCAAAAAAAATTTACAAACAAAAGGAAAATCTCTTGGAAAACACGCTAGGAGGGTAAACATTTTCTCCAAAAATTTCTTGACTTCAGACTTTTTCCTTTTGTTTGAAAAGTCACTTAAATTCTGAGAGGGAAAACTTTTCTGTGTCGTCTTATGATAAAAAAAACTCAGCTTCGATTATTTTTCGAAAAAAAAAGAAGATTTTTTGATCGAAGGAGAGAGGACATAGTGAAGAGTCAGATGACAAAATTGGTTACTTAGATCTGAACCTGAATTATATCTGATATTAAAACTGCTATAGTTTTGCGTTGAACTGTACGCTAGATTCTGTTTGCAGGCGACCATTCGCCTTGTAATAAGTACCACAAAGCAGGGAAAATAGGTAAATATCATCACCGAGATGATCCTCAAAGTAAAATGTATAGTTCGAATTGAAGATCTAACAATATTTATTAGATATTATGCAACTATTTAGTGTTACATGTTTACTAGATATTACAAAATTGCCGAATTTACTGAGGTTCCTTTCGCTGCAACAAAGCCAAAAATTTACTTGCCATATACTAAAAAATAATGACTGATGTATAATGCAGTTCTTTCTGCGAATTTTTCCGGAACTTTTTATATGAATTTGAATTTACTATCCGATAAGGCATATCATTATCTTCCTTAGCTGAATATATAAAGATGTGTGCTTAAGTCATTATTGAAATACGACGTCTCAAATATAATTTTTGATGTAAACTAATTCAGAATGAGTTATATGATAAGTATTTATCTTTTAGATCTATTAGGTTTCCAATAGATAATTTAAACTCAAATACATGAACTTTTGAGCGACAACATCGATATTTTGGTTCTAAACATAATCCATAGATAGTTTCCAACTTTGGAATTTTTATACGGAAATCATGATAACTCGTCAGAGAACTGCTTCAAGTCCTAAATCGTTTTTGACACCTTCGTTTTTACGATACCGAACTTTTACTCAATTTTTCAATAAAACTCTATAGTCCTTCTCAGCTCATATTGAAAACTAACTGTTGAGTTTTGATTTAAAATTTTATACAACTAATACTCTTGATAGAACTAGTTCATTCTGTGAAGGTTTCAGCTCTCTTTGTTGTTTCTGTCATAAGATACAAATATGCGGATAAAATATACTTTTTCATATAAAAAAAAAAAAAACTTTTTCAATATCTATAACTCAAAATAGAAGCCATAGAAAAGGCTGAAGTATTCAAAATGAACTAGTTCTGTAAGGTGTCAGGTCAATACTCAAGCTTGCGGGGTTTTGTTGAAAAATTTAATAAAAAGTCTTTTTCTTTTAGAAATCTAACAAATCAAACAAGCTAGATAAACACAGGCAATCAGCCTGAAGCACAAAGTGTTAATGCACAAAAGACTAATTAATTAGCTATAGTAATTGTAGAGGTTGTTTTGGAGTCTCTTGTTCTGTCTACCGTGGATGGGTTTAGTTTCGCCTTTTCGCTTTCAAAATTCTGCCACTTGTATTAAAAATAAGTTCACGTATGACATATCTAGCCAGAAAAATAGTCGGTTGCGGATATTTCCATAAGGCATCGTCTCACTAGTCCAATACTAGGATTTCTTTTAGGAAAAATTTATTTCGCTTTCACACAAACACCGACTTTTTCTAAATAAAAAAAAAAATACCAGAAATGTCTTCCAAATTGTTTGTTAGAATTTCAGCAACATGAATAATAGTCTGTACCATCGTACATTCATGTTTCTCATCTGAACTCTACTCTGGAGGATGGGATACAGTCATATTGCAGGTATCTGTTAGAAATGAATATTAAGTTAAACATGTTTCACTCGAGATAAAAATAAGTAAATTTAAAATGTTCAAAAAATTTTCGAGAAACTTAAAAAGACTTCAGATGAATTGAGAACGGTTCATAAAACTTCAATTAATTTAAATGAATTTATTGGAAATTTCAAAGAGTTCACTGTAATTCAAGAGATTTCAAAAGATTTTGTAGGATTTTACAAGATTTCATGAGACTTCAAAGCATTGTATGAAACTTCTACACGTAATAAAACTTCAAGGCTGAAATTTTCTTCTATCTTTTTTCTGTTTTTTTACATTTTCAGATAATAAAATAGGTAACAGAAAATATATTTGTAATATTGAAAAGAAGAGAAAATAATTGATAATTATGACTTGCTTACAACCAACAGGATCAAAAGACAATTTAAAAGATGTACAATGGTTGTGGAAGTCAAACTCAGATCCATGGTCAGAATCAGTGCCAGCTGAATGGAGTCATTATTCAGACGTGGAAAATCTAATTATTGAAGGTGCATTCTTAGATACACAATCACGAGTCACTTTAGATGATTATTACATTGATTTTCAAGATAATCGTCAAGTATCCAATATTGATAATTATAAGCAAAGACCTGTTCAACGAGTCGTACGTAACCGAGAAGATAAACATTTACGAAAAGCACGTTTTATGGATCTTTCAACTACATCGACACGTTTGTTCGGTGGGCAATATGGTTGGATATCACCATTTATCATTGAAGTTCGCCGAGATTTGGGTCTTAAACTTGATGATTTACCTTCGAAAAAGCCAAATATGATTCCTATGCTTGTTGAAAAAGCTGCTTGTGGTATAATTGACGAAGGAAAATATCTTCGAAAAAAACAAGAAGCTGAAAAAATAGCTAATATGCTTAGAGAAAAAAAGAACGAAAGCATGAAAGAAGTATGGAAATATTGTGCTTATCTTTATTCTTTGGAAAGTTTTCTATACAAAACATTGAATACAGCTATGAGATTCGTTGGAGACAAAGATCAAGAAAATGTATGGAGAAGTAAAATTCGTACATTAGGTCCATTTTGTTTACTACTTTGGGATGATCCAATTAATATAAAAATAAAAACTGATATGATACTTTACCGAGGAGCTGAATTGAATCCCGAACAAATCGCTATCTATGAAAAAATGGCTAAGAAGCGCGACGAATATCGATCATTTCAAACATTTTTATCATGTACCCGAAATCGTCAAAAAGCAGAAGAATTTGGTAATACTTTATTCATCATGGAAGTAATAGGTGCTTTTATCGCTGATCTTTGTGAATTATCTGAATATCCTAATGAAGAAGAAGAACTTATTATGCCAGGTGTTTGTTTTCGTGTTAAACAAGTTGACTTTAATCGCAAGAAAAAACAACATTTGATTCACCTCAAACTATTTCAAAGCTCGTCTAGTAAGTTGAAAAGAAAAAAGTTTATTCGAAGATTTTCAAAATACACAACAAAATATTTGTTTCGAATATTTTAATTCTCATTTTGTATTCTATTTACTTACACACTAGAAAAATAAATCGAGTGAAATGAAAACATAATCATCAAAGATATTTCTACGGAGTTATTTCTGTTCACTCTTATAAGCATTCAGTTTCTTTTTTTTTTAAATTTTTTATCACTATAAAAATATCATTAGATAAATAAATATATATTTTAATAGGAATCTTGAAATTTTTATATATATATTTTTTTTTATTGCTTGGCATGTTATTTATTGAAAAATAATTTCATTACAATGAACATATTTTCAATTGACCAGTCTGTAAAAAGTTATATTTTTTTTTGTTTATATTTGAATATTTTCTTTTGAAAGAACGTTTTTTTTTTAAAAAGCTAAAGTTTTAAAAGTAACGATAGATTTTGATGTATAGATCTTGAGATTTTTCAATGTTTTCTAGATGTTTTTCTTTCTTTGTTGCATTCATTTACTAGATTCAATTTAAAAACAGAAATCTGTAGAATAAAAGAAAATTTCAAATTCTATCAAAATTCATTATTTCTTTTCTAAACGCTTCATTTTTTTTTTACATAAATGGGTTTTTAAAGAAGTTGAAAAGATATTTGGTAGTTGTGCGGAATCTACTGCAAAAATGAAAACAAAGTCTCTGTATAAGAAAATTTTCACGAAACATTTCTCTCACAATATAAATGCTCTAATTTTACTTTCTATGTTTCATATATTTAATGAATCTTTTGAATTTTATTTTTTATGGAATTAAATTAAAAATATAATTTTCTAAAGAAAAAAAATCTAAATTTCTTTTCCAGATAGATTTTTTTCATCGTAAAAATACATCTGATAAAATTTCAAGTATACTTAAATATTTTATTAGAACTTTTACATATTTTTCTTACAATTTCAAAGTATGAGAAAAAATTTCACAATCTTGCAACAACAAAAAAATAATGAATTTCAAACAAATTTAAACTATTGTTTTCGATTGCTTTCGAATAATCTAAATATTTATACTGTTGAGATAAATACATTGATCTTTGTTTTTTTTATAATTGAATTGTAAATTCGATTATATGAAAATCAAATACTTCATTGAACGAGTCAGAATTTTGATCAAATTAGTTTTCATAATACAACTAAAATTACTTTGCAATATTAAGTCATTATTTTTTAATAAATCAATGCAAAAGCAATTCTTAAATATATTTGGAATGATCAAGAAATTGAAATTTAGTAATGAGAAAAAAAGAATTTTAAATTCTATCGAAACATATATTATACATAGAATTATCATTAGACAGAATTTATTTGTTAGTTAGATGCAAAAATTAGAAAGTAATATTTTTCTATTTCAATATAAAATTTGAATTTTTGATTTAGATTTAGAAAACAAAGTATATGCTTATTTTTCTTTTAATAACTACAGAGATCATTTAATTTTCATTTGATTCTTTACTAATGTAACTACCAATAACCTTTGTATCGGCTTTGAAAAATGATTTTTGAGAATTTTCTTTTTTTTTTCTTACGAACAAACGAAGTAATCTTTTGAATTTCTCGAATATTTAAAGTTCAAGTTAAAGCAACTATTATTTTATTGAAGAAGAATATCCTTCCTTCTGTCTCTCGTGTTGTATAAGATGTTATACAAAAACAGTTTCTATAGGTCGATAGTTTTTGCTACAATTGTCTGTTTATATGTCAACGACGTAATCATAGTGACTTAGTTTTTATTATAGACAATATATCAAATGAAAAATGAGTCTTTCATTTTCTTCCATTCCAAAAATAAATCAACAAAATTTAATAGAATTTATTGGCTGGATCGAAAGTAAAGAAATGATGAATTCTTTTCACAATTTTCTTTCTAAATCCATAGTTCGATATTTTATTTGAATTCCATAAACTATTCGATGAAATTCATATATAGTGATATCATGAAACTTTGTACGTAAAAGTACACAAAAAAAAGAAACACTTCTAGCATTTTGCAAGCACTTCTATAGGAATGATACAACAAATTTTCTGTTTTTTTTTAATAGTCAAATTCAATTGATTTTATTCTAATATGTCATACTTTTGAGTAATTTTGTATTAGAATTGTGTGGCACAGTTTAGAATCTTCGAAAAATCTTGTTTGTTGCATCTCATAAGACAATCATGATGGAAAGAATTTGAAAAAAAACCGAAACAAGACATTCGCGACCATTTCTATTTCTAACAAATATCATTACTATTCAAATATAAAACAGACAAAGAATTAATTAGACTGGCATTCGAACAAAATTCGAGTAGAATCAATGGCACACAATGTCAATCCGTTAGAAGATCTACTAACTCGAGATTTTAGATTATTCTAGAGAAAATCATTTAAGTTTTGTTCAGCTATGTTGGTTCAGTAGTCAGCAAATAAATTAAGAGATAATCAATCTAAACTTCAGATTGCCATAGAAAGAAAGTGTTGCATTTAGCACTTAAAGTGTCAATGACATTCGATTAGATTGGTTAAAATAAAAATTTCCAAACCATTATTGTGATTGTGAATGAGTTTGTCGAATGTTGATTAACTTCGAATGGAGTTCAGTCTAATATCGTCTATAAGTATTCAGCTCTGGAAGTGGATATAGCTGTCGATCTTTGCTCACATCTATATGCACATGCACATTCGAAACAAATAAACAAAATAACAATTCATTTCTGAAATATATTTTTCATCTCAATTAACAAAAAAAAAATATTTTAATAAGTAGTCCATTAATCAAATCTAAATCTATTTAATTATAATTCTCTTGTTGATTGTTCAATCGAATCAAAAAAAAGAAAACAAGCAGCATAACAGATGATAAAAAAATTCTATTTCTATATCGAATAAATGGTTAGAAATCCCATTGAGATTTTCCTCAATTACTATAAATAGAAAATAAAACTTAAAAATTTTACTAAGTATTTGAAAAAGGGAAGCGATAATCAAAACCGTTTGACAATTATTTATTTCATCTGGAACTATAAATCTTAGTAAAACAAGAATATCAATTGTAACTGCTCTAATATATTATTAAAATAATCATGTGAGAAAGAAACGTATAGACATATCCATGAATTGCTAAGAATATTATTCACTATTGTAAATTCAAATCTCAAAACGAAATTCATATTGATATAGGAATCATAAGTGATCAATAAAGGATGTCCAGGTAAAAGTAGACGGTAGGATAGTGTAGTGTCTATCGAAACCAAAGTATGTTTAGATTTTGAGAAAAAAAGAAAAGATATAAAGAAAATTTCAACATATTTTTGAATTGATAAATATCTCTAGAAAAAATTATACAGCAAACCGAAATGAAAAATACAAATATTATAACAATGTATACGAGATAAATAACATCAACTAACAGGGCATAATCATGAATGCGACATAAATACTTGTATATTGATATAACCTAAACAAAAACCGTAATTTAAACATGATTGGTAAAATTTTGATTATTCCTTTTCATAGAAATCTATATCCAAACATAAAGTTCTACTAAACCTCCACATAATAGAAGACCCCCTTTAATTAATTAATTTTTTGCTAATTAAAGGTTTAATTAGTGAATTTCTGTGAAAATATGCCCAGTTTTTAGGGTTTTAAGCTGGGAATCTTAAAAAAAAGTGAGTCCAATTTTCTGGAAAACTCGTTTGATTAAAAATTGGGAAAAATATGGGACATAATACCAGATCCTCCTGGAAAATTTTTACGCTGAGACATGATAGAAGACCCGGGGTCTTCTATTATCGGGGGGAGGGGAGGTTTAACAAAACACTATAAAAATATCTAGATATTTCGAAAATTCTCACACTATGACCCAAATTACATAAAAAAAATTCTTGCCATTTCGAAAGATCTGTAAACTTTTTCTGATACCATTTCTTCATTATACAAAATTTATTTCTTAATCTATCTATTCATCAAGTTACATCGACTTATATAATCACTCCAAAAATCCATAATTTTCTTCTCTTCTAGGATCAAACAAAGACGAAATACAAAATAAAAATAAACAAGAACAATCGAATGATGAGTAAAACTTGGTTCAAATTCTATTTGCTATCTAATAGAAAACTTATACAATCGAGAAAAAGTCAAACTTATCACAAGATTTTCGAATAATCAAATAATCTAACAATATAAAAATTCGATGGTCATCATCAAAATAGTAAAAACAATATATTGAAATATGATTTAATTATAGTTGAATGAAAATCTAATCAAATAAATTTATTTATTATAGAATATTTATTCAATGAAAATTACATTCAATATATTAAAACATAATTTAATTACAGTTGAATGAAAATCTGATTAAATCAATTGATATACTATATAATATATATTCAATAAAAATCAAATTCAATATATTAAAATATAATTTAATTATAATTGAATGAAAATCTATTAAAATAAATTTATTAATTATATATTATGTGTTCAATGAAAATTAAATTCAATATATTAAAATATGACTTAATTATAGTTGAATAGAAATCTTTTCAAATAAATTTATTTATTATATAATATTTATTGAATAAAAAATCAAATTCAATATATTAAAATATGATTTAATTATATTTGATTGAAAATCTTTTCAAATAAATTTATTTATCATATAATATTTATTCAATGAAAAATCACATTCAACATATTAAAACATAATTTAATTATAGTTGAATAAAAATCTGATTAAATAAATTTGTTTATTATATTATATTTATTCAATAAAAATTAAATTCAACATATTAAAAGTATGATTCAATTATAATTGAATGAAAATCTGTTGTATTAAATTTATTTATTGTGTAATAATTCATCCAATGAAAATCAGATTCAATACATGAAAAATATGATTTCATTATAATTGAATAGAAATCTCTTTAAAGAAATTTATTTATTATATAATATTTAGTTAATGAAAATCAAAAAATTCAATATATTAAAAAAAAATGATATAATTATAGTTGAATAAAAATTTCGTTAATTAAATTTATTTATGTTATAATAATTATTCAATGAAAATCAAATTCAATGTATTAAAATATGATTTAATTTATAATTGAATGAAAATCTGATTAAATAAATAAATTTATTATATAATATGTATTCAACAAAAATGAAATTCAGTATATAAAGTATAATTTAAAATATAGTTGAATAAAAATCT